GATGAGCACTTACGCTAACATGCGTACCCGAGCTTGCAGAGATAAAAATCATGTTTTGGGCAACTTTGGACCGTTATAACATATCACTGCGCCAAAATCTCGAGTTGCAAATTATATAGGTTCGCTATACAGGGTGTCCAAAAAGTAACGATACACCTGAGAAATTTTTTAAGCCGGTTATTTTTTTAACCGGGTGAAGGTTGTTCTTGAAGTAACTTTTTACGAGGAATCCGATGGTAACTTTGGATTTGACCTTGAACCTCATTTTCAAGGTTATTTTGAGGTCAACCTCATTTTTTTAAATGGAAACCCCCATTTTTTATGGCGGAATCGGAAAGAGCAGAAAATTTTACGTCCAGATATGTATTGAGGTATGAGGTTGAGGTAACCCCTAGAGGTCAACTGGAGGTCAAAGTATGAATTTTTAAAAATCTCGCGAATTCAGTGGTTAAACAAAACAAACAAAAGGATAACCCCAGGAAACTTTCAACGGTGCTCTTTAATTTGTCCTTGAATCTCATTTTCAAGGTTATTTTGAGGTCAACCTCATTTTTTTAATAGGTACCCCTATTTTTTATGGCGGAATCGAAAAAAGTGAAGACTCTCACGTATGGATGAGTTGAGGTTGGAGGTTAATGTGACCTCTAGGGGTCAGATGAAGGTCGAACTGTGGCTTTGTAATAGTACCGGGATTTTAGTGGTACAAGGAAGCAAATAAAGGTCATGGAAACCCCCATTTTCGACAGCGGCAATCGAAAGAGCGGAAAATTTCACATCCAAATATCTACTTAGATCATAAGTCAAGGGCGAACTTAAAGTTTAAGGTCAGTCGAAGGTCATCCAAACTTAAAGACGCCCTAAAATTTTTTAAAGTTTTTTTCATAATGGAGAAGGGTATTTATTTAGTAATTGCCCATCGGAGATCCGTGACCTTGAATTTAACCTTCAACCTCATTATCAAGGTTTTTTCAAGATCAATTTTTTTTACTTTTAGCGTTACCCAGGAACAACGACGTGGACGTAGTAAAATCTGTCCCTTTGAGGTGCTTTATTTTCGTGAGTTCCCCTCGCCTCTCACGATCGGGGTGCTTGATTTTCGTGAGTTCCCCTCGCCTATCAACAATGATTTTTTACGCTTATTTTCTTAATAACTTGATTAGCCGGTTATACTTTTTAAGGTTACTATCCCATACCTATTCATTGAAAATCCACTAACAATTTCACTTGGTTCTATCCTTAGGAAATGTACTATGCCTAACTTTATCGTTTTGAGCTTATTCTTCGGGACAATTGCATTTTCAAAAATTAATATTTAAAAAAGCAACATATTTGAAAAGATTTTACCATTCGAAAATCTTCATAAAGCATTAGTGCATTAGTCGGACTGTAGTAGAACTTTTTTGTAAAAGTACTCAAATTATAATTTTCATTTTTTGAAAACATTTATTTGGGTTGCAAACTTTTTGTTTTTAATTCTGATTGATTTTTGAGTAAATTTCGATTCGCTGACTTAAAATGGAACGCCTCACTGAACGAGAAAGAATATCACTTCTTATGATGAGAGGCTGGGGTGGAGTAGAAAGATCTTACAGGGCAATGAGAAATCTTTTTAATGAGACATTTCGGGTTAATAGAACTCCAATTGCTGTGTCTACTGTTCAGAATACTATTTCAAGGTTTGTAAATTTTGGCCATGTCAGAAATCTACCTAAGTCAGGCAGACCACGCTCAGCAACAAATGAAGAGAATTTATTATATGTTCTATTATCATTCACTGAAAATCCACATAATTCCATCCGCAGAGTTGCTCAAGAGCATGACATAAGTACATCGTCCGTACATATCATTTTAAAAACAGCAAAATTCCATCCGTTTAAAGTACACCTGGTTCAAAAGTTGAATGAAGACGATTTCGATAGTCGTGTTGAGTTTTGTGAAGATATGATGGCACGCATAATTGAAAATCCAAATCTTCCATCAAACATAGTTTTCTCTGATGAAGCAACTTTTCAACTTGACGGAACATTAAATCGACATAATTGCAGGTACTGGGCTGCGGAAAATCCACACTGGATGCGAGAAGATAAATCGCAATATCCGCAGAAGTTGAATGTTTGGGCTGGAATAGTGAATAATCGAATCATAGGGCCATTCTTTATTGATGGTAACTTAAACGCTCAAAATTATGAAGAGGTGCTTCGTAATCAAATAGTTCCAGCAATTAGACAAATAGTCGGAGACAACTTCGAAAATACATAGTATCAGCAGGATGGTACTGCAGCTCACTATGGACGAGACGTTCGAATTTACTTAGATGAGGTGTTTGATAATCGGTGGATAGGAAGGAGAGGCACAATTGAATGGCCAGCTAGGTCCCCCGATTTGACGCCTTTAGATTATTTCTATTGGGGTTATCTAAAGGATCAGGTATACAAAACTAAACCCCAAAACTTGGACGAATTACGTCAAAGGATCATAGACGAATCAGCTCTCATTCCCACTGAAATGATCCAAAATGCTGTTGATGCTTTTTACCACCGATTAGCTTACTGTCAAGAAGTGAACGGTGAACAATTCGAGCACTTAAAATAAGATGTGCTGATGTAAGATAAATCATACGTGAGAGGCCAGGGGAACTCACGAAAATCAAGCACCCCGATCGTGAGAGGCGAGGGGAACTCACGAAAATAAAGCACCCCAAGGGGACAGATTTTACTACGTCCACGTCGTTGTTCCTGGGTAACGCTAAAAGTAAAAAAAATTGATCTTGAAAAAACCTTGATAATGAGGTTGAAGGTTAAATTCAAGGTCACGGATCTCCGATGGGCAATTACTAAATAAATACCCTTCTCCATTATGAAAAAAACTTTAAAAAATTTTAGGGCGTCTTTAAGTTTGGATGACCTTCGACTGACCTTAAACTTTAAGTTCGCCCTTGACTTATGATCTAAGTAGTTATTTGGATGTGAAATTTTCCGCTCTTTCGATTGCCGCTGTCGAAAATGGGGGTTTCCATGACCTTTATTTGCTTCCTTGTACCACTAAAATCCCGGTACTATTACAAACCACAGTTCGACCTTCATCTGACCCCTAGAGGTCACATTAACCTCCAACCTCAACTCATCCATACGTGAGAGTCTTCACTTTTTTCGATTCCGCCATAAAAAATAGGGGTACCTATTAAAAAAATGAGGTTGACCTCAAAATAACCTTGAAAATGAGATTCAAGGACAAATTAAAGAGCACCGTTGAAAGTTTCCTGGGGTTATCCTTTTGTTTGTTTTGTTTAACCACTGAATTCGCGAGATTTTTAAAAATTCATACTTTGACCTCCAGTTGACCTCTAGGGGTTACCTCAACCTCATACCTCAATACATATCTGGACGTAAAATTTTCCGCTCTTTCCGATTCCGCCATAAAAAATAGGGGTTTCCGTTTAAAAAAATAAGGTTGACCTCAAAATAACCTTGAAAATGAGGTTCAAGGTCAAATCCAAGGTTACCATCGGATTCCTCGTAAAAAGTTACTTCAAGAACAACCTTCACCCGGTTGAAAAAATAACCGGCTTAGAAAATTTCTCAGGTGTATCGTTACTTTTTGGACACCCTGTATACGTTGTCCTGAATAGATCTACGTTGTCAAAATCCATCATCGAATTATTGCATGAAAATTTCTCTATAGATTGGACTATATGTCATCAATATATAAAATATTCTGAAAAAATATCATTAAAAAAGTACAATGTTCATATTTTAAAATCAATTCCCAATTATTTAACTGTACAGAGAAATGAATATTTTTATGAACCTATATAAAAATAATTTTTTAGTTGAATTGGGGAACTCTACAAAAGATCCAGCATCGAAACCAAGCATAATTGATGAAAAGCGCTTCACTCCTGGTAGCTCTTATTTAGTTAAGCATTTACAAAAATTATTAAGTAAAGATAGAACTAGTAAGTATCAAAAGTAGAAATAATAAAAAATATCCAACAATGCTGCAAAATTTTTTGAAAGTTAAGTTTTTATTTTTTTAATTTTACAGGCAACGTCAAAGGCAACAATATCAAGACAGAAATAGAAAATATTGCAGAGTCGCCTACCAGTAACTCGCATGCAGCTAAAACTCAAAACCCCTCTAATCACCAGTTCCCCATCTACTAGTAGTCAGCCTGAATTTTTATCTAGGAAGCCGTTGAAAAATATCACAAATGATACAAGAATCTCGACTCCTCTTCCCCAATTCAAGAAGCTAAAAGATGGTAAATTCGAAATTGTTAAGCAAAGAAGGACAAAAAATAGGTGTCCGTCTATAATTTTCATAACTTCTTGATATATAATTTATTTGGTATAAGTTGCAGGGATTCAAATGGGCAATCAATTTCTTCTGACTTTGTATGAAAACCCCAGGTAACATCAACCGTACCGGGAACGTACCCGCAACTAGTTTTTAGGAACTTTGGTACGAAAGGCGGTGCGGATGGGAATCGTATCGGGTACGTACCAGGATGGGTGACAATGTCCACTATGGTAGAAAAAATATCGTTTCTGGAACGTTCCGGGCATTGTGTACTGCAAAGTTGCCGCAACGTTCCAATACCGTTCCATAGGATTCGTCTGGGTACGTTCCCGGTACGGTTTTGGAACGATCCCAAAATCGAAAAAAATTTTCATCATGGTATCCTGGATACCGATAAGAACGTACCTGGTACGTACCCAGGATGCAGACAGTGGTACGTAGCAGCCACGAATCCGGTACGTTTCAGGACGAGAAAAATTGCCATACCCTTGCATTAGGGTACGTTCCCGGTACGTACCAGTACCGCATTTTTCAATGGAACGTTCTTGCCCCGTCTATGATACGTTACTATCTTGTTCCTGCTACGTCGCAGGTACGTACCAACTTTATTTGGAAATAATCAATAAGTTCATTTATTTATTAATTCAAACGATATTTAGTAATTCACAGTAGTAAGTACTTATTTTTTCATCGGTAGAAAACTTTATTAATTTTTACAAATACTTATAAATTTGTACCAATTTATACATAGTATTTCGCAAGGTACCAAACTACACAATAATCTACTTAATCTAGAAAACACATTTGGTTTTTACGCTGACATTTTTATAAACTATTTTAACCAATCGACTGTTACATTATTTCATATACGTACAAGTATTTTCAATTGTTCAACTTTGCCTCACGGAAAAGGAGCAAGATAAAACAGGATTTGATCGGTAACTTTGCATCTTTTTTTAAGTAAGATTTTATACATTGACATTTTGGTATCTAATGGTAGGATCTAAAACTTAGTAACTACTCGCCAACGCAATACAAAATTTTTACGACTTTTTTGTTCATTAGGAAAGATTTTTCTAATGATTTAATTTTTTTTGTCTTCAATCGTTTGAAATATTACAGAAATGACAATTTTCAAAAAATACTTATAGCTCATAACGAGTCTTCAGATCATTTCTCGAAATACACTAAAAATTTTTTTATGATTTTATATCTATAATAAATTATTTCAATTTCGCATGTAATAATTAGATCAAAACTATCAACAATTTAAGAAGTCGTTTTCCAGCTCAAATTTCAATATGGTTCAGTTCAAACTTTTAAAATGAAGACAGTTAAAAAATATATATCAATTTATCATGAAATTTATAGCAGATTCAGCTATATATTGTACAAAAGTTTGCACGAAAAAACCTCCTAACCTACAACATCAACTTTTCATTGCTATTATTTTCTTATGTTAAAAAACTATGTGACAGTGAAGGACCGTTTCCAATGTCGACAACATTTACCACCTAATGTCGACCCCTGTTTTCATTAACCAATATGATCCTATCACAGCCATCCAATAAATTCAGCTATGAAAAATGTTATAAATAATAATAATAATATTCAATTAGCGAATAATAATATTCAATTAGCGAAATCTTCATGTGGTCGCTGCTACTTTCTTATACCTTTCCTGATTTGCACAAATCTTTCAGAGATTTCGGTCTGTTTAGAGGAAAAAGTATATAAGTTCATTAGAAATACGGCCATCATAATGGAAAATTGTATAACATACTTTGCTGTTTTGTTATTGAGTCGCTTTAATCTTTTTGGTGCATTTTTAAGCCAATCCATGGCACTTGCTATTGTGTCCGACTCTGAATATTTTTCATAAAATTTTTCAGTAGCTGCCTCTGTAATTATGTTAGAATTGGTTATGAAGATAAAATTTTCATGGATTACTTTTGAAAGCAGACCGACTTTTTAGCACAGGCCATACAAATAAATCCTTCAAGGCTACTTTTTGCTTATCCTTATTTTCGTCTGGTACTTTTTTCCCACAAAAGTTGAATTCTGTCATAAGTCTAGTTGTCATGACTGCATTGAGCATTTGCTGCATTAAGTGATGGCCACCAATACTGGACAAAGACTTCATGTGCTTTTTCTATATGAAAAGACGAAAAAATAAAATAAATCAAAATTGCACGTCCAACGTATGTTACATTTATTTATTATAATATAAAAGTTTTAAGTTACTCACGAAAGCAGCCTTGTACTCTTTATCTTGATCCAATTTTGATTCTAATATTGCGAGCTCTGCTGAAGTTTTACAGGGTATGTCTTCATAGATTTCTTCAATTTTTTAATTGACAACAGATACGTGGTTATTGGAAACGTTTGGAGAATTCTGAATTTCAGTCAATATTTTGTTTTGTTTATTATTTACTGATTCCAACTGATCTAAAATGATGTTTCGTGAGTCAGTTGCTTCCAAGTATGATACAACCATCTTTGACGAACAAACTTACTTACCAAAAAGAACTGTTAACAATTCTCGTTCAGTTAGCTTGTCGAATTCTGCTTGAGATGGAGTAGTCTTTTTTTCATGACTTCCCGGAACAGTAACAATACTTTTTATACGTGGTTTAACTGTCTTATTCAATTTTTTTTCATGAACTTTTTGTGCAATGAGTAAAGTCTTCATACCTTTTGCGTAAGTTTCTAAAAAAATATGAATATCCATACTAGAATTTGGGGAAGTTTATTATCAGTTTTGAAATAAAAATAAATTTATATTAATACCTTCATATGTATAATTTTCCAGAACATCGATTTTCCTCCAATTCATCCTAGGACCCACTTTTTTCGCTACGTACTCTTTGATTATATTTACCGTACCTTCTGGAGGCCAGTAGCAATACTTAAAATCCAAGCTCTGCCATTTGGACGGTACAAGAATTGGTTGAGTAAAATTTTGTAATAATATAATAGCAAATCCTTCAGCATCTAAAATATAAGTAATTTAACGGAAACTTGATTTGAAATTTTTTTTTAATAATCTAGTAACAAAAATTTACTTTCTTCTTCATGGTTTTGGCATTCTTCAACTAATTTTTCATCATTATCCTTAAAATCATCAGAAACATCAGAAATTCTATTTTCACCAGCACGTTTGAGATCCTGCTTGTCTAAATCTAATGACTTGTTCTCTTCGTCCGAGAAATCACAGAATTCTTCATTTTTATTCAATTCCTTTTCAATTTCGTCATATTCTAAACTAAATGCCTCACCTACATTGAGTAAAGTGAAATTTATTTTTTACAATTTCATATTTTTGGGTATTAATGATGTGTATGTATGTGTGTGTGTGTGTGTGTGTGTGTGTGTGTGTGTGTGTGTGTGTGTGTGGGTATACACAATGTGTATTACATCACATACATACATAGAACTAATACTCACTTTTTTCTTTAACCTCAACTTCAGTTTTCTGATCATTTTTAGTAGTACTATAATTTTCTGGAAGATTATATAAAACATGATATTTGGAATATGTTTTCGATATGTAATAGGAGAAATTTTGGCATTTATAGAATCCATTGGCATTTCAGTTGAAAAATTCGACATTTCGACATTTACATGTTTTAATTTCACTTTCGAGAATATTTTATAAAAAGGTTTTTAGTAAAATTGTTTCACTAACAGAGTAAAACTACTTATACGGAGAGACAATATTAAGGTCCCCCCATACTCCTACATCGATATACAAAACGGCCATCCTTCGCGTGGTAATTAAATATTGGCTAAGCAAATTTGAGACTTGAAAAAATCATTATTAATAGATTGTAATTTTAGTGTGCTCCAAAGCAGATCTAGTTGATCGCCGTTTTATCAGGGAAAAATTTAGAAAATGATAAACTCGCGTTTAAATTATACATTAGCGCTCTTTTGTTTTTTTATAACCCGATTTTACGTGGTCATATTTTTTTTCTGATAAAGCTGTATGGAATTAATTGGAGCAGATTTAGCGTAAACTACGTATTAAAATCTAATAATGTTAATTTTTTCAAGTCTCGAATTTGCTTAGCCAACGTTTAATCACCGCGCAAAGGATGACCGTTACTAGTATGCATTCGTATATCTGTATAGGGGTATGGGAGGACCTTAGCATAAGATTGTTTAACAATAACGAAAGAAAATAATGAGTTTGTGGACACCAAAACTTCAAAATAAGGTATTTACGAACCTCGCAGAATTTTGAGGCGTTTGAAAACATTCATTTTACATTGATATTTTGAAATAAAAAAAAATAAATTTCACACGTTTTTTCTCAATTACGGTAAAAAATACTTTATCGACTGACATTTCAAACCTCAAAATTAAACTCTTATATATTGAATTTTCAAAGAAACCTTTTTTAAAGGCAATCTGCATAGATTTATCTTTCTAGTTTGTATAAAATTATAATATAATATAGAAAATTATTTTTAAAAAAACGGCTTTTATTGGAACATACCCACGGAAGGCTTAAACTTCAAACGTTTGGATGGAGTGAGCATTCTATTTTCAGAATCACCGTTGTTTGACTTTGCAGAATTGACAGAAGTTTGAAGCTGAGGTACAGATGGATACTCAATTTTGGCAGCTTCTTTTGGATTTGTATCCGACTCAGATTCAGATGTATCAGAGCTACTATCCGAGCTTGTTAGCTTCCTTTTGTGGCGTAGTTTGCGAGTTTTTCTGTCTTGTCCACATTTTTCAGACTTTTTAGTCATATATTTTTCATACTCCTTGTCTATCTCATCTCCACTGACTACCTGCGCCAATTCTTCCTTGCAAACAGCCACGTCAAAGCTTTCTAAAATTGATAATATTATACTTCAATTAATAAATTTTTGATCATTCATTGTCTGTAAAAACAATTCTCATCGTTACAAACATTAGTGAAATAATAATGATGTAAAAAAAATCCCCTCAAGAAATTATTGGTTTCAATCATGTTCAATTCTTTCACTTTATGAATTCATTGCAAGTGTTAATAAATTTTTTTAATGATAATTTTTTCGGTTTCATGTCATGAAGAAATAATAGGTATAGAAAAACGATTTTTTTGTATTTACACGTTACCTTCAAAGCGTATTTTATTTCAATTCGAAAATATCATATAATTGATATTCAACCTGACCGTGTATAAAAGAAACATACATTTTCATACGACGGAATTTGTAAAAAAACGCGTTTTTATTTTTTCTTCCTTAAATCTTTCAAGCATGTTTCCTTTTGTCTAACAGCATTGTTTGATAAAAAATGTAGTGACAAAAATAAAAACACATCAAACCTCACAAAGATAAAAAAATCAAAAAAACAAACGTATCGGTTGGTACGAATAGCAATTGTGAGTGCGCGGAAAGCAAATGCTCGAATGACCTTTTCCGTGCACTAAAAAAAGAAACATGTGCCATTTGTATGTTTCTATATTTGGACGCGTTTCTTCTCTGGGTGCGTATTCGATGAACGATGGCGCGTTGAAAATAAAAGGAATGTACAAACGAAGAGAGACAGTGTTGTCGAATTTGAGAAAATACTCCAACAATCCGAAAATGTGTATAGTACATCACACTAAAACAAACGCGGCATCGCGCGATCTCTTTCACGAAATAGCCATCCGTGCAACTCGGCGAATAACCGATCGGAATTCTTTATTCCCAATACCGAAACCGCATTTGCGGTGTGTAAGAATGTCAAAAACAAAATCTTTGTTTCCATTTATAATTAAATTTCAAGTTACGGCTATAAATAAATTATTTTGATAAGCAACGGAACTGATTAAACAAAATATATAAAACCATGGAAATAAAAGATGTCACTAATACATTATAGGTTGAATTAATTGACATTACAACAACAAAAATACATCTTACCTGCTGTAGTGTGAATTATGACGTCGTGCTTTGGCCAGGTTAATTTCGGCTCACGTGCTTTCTTGACAAGCTTTTTCAAGTCGAATTCAAATTTTACGTTATCTGGCCAATGGCAGTAAAATTCATAGTCTGTTCGTTGGTGGATTCACTTTCATTATGAAAAATCCAATTCAGCGGCACCGCTCTAACCTTCTTATCACTTTTAAATTGTACTATTTTCCACTGCGGCATCTTTGGTATCAAAGAAAAAACTAAAGAAAAGAAAATGTAAATTAATTTTGTTAACATGCGTCAATTAAACAACTTAGAAACAGAACATCCGTGTGTAAAAAAGATTGACCATACGTGCCTTTGTTCAGAGCCGGCTACTGAAAGCTAGGACATTTGACAGTCGACATGCTCTCATTTGTTTTAGCAGGCATTCGTGCGACTATAGACCTACTGCTGCTCAGCTCCCCTCCCTTCCTCTCCAAAGCAGAGTTCCTAATACAGCTCTACTTCAAGCTGGCTTTCAGAGACTTCACCTTTAGACTCGGTCAAACGGTATAAATCTGGCAACTGTGCACGCCATACCAAAAACCGGCAGCAACCTGCAGTGTGTGTATCATGTATTCTCGACATTCGTATAATATTTTCTCGTTAACTGTCGAGCAATCTGTTAAACATTCAAGTGAGTTATTATTATTTTCTTTAATAAACCAATAAACATACTCAAATTGACTGCTGCATGTTCTCTTGACTATTAGATTACGAATACATAAACGACGATGTGTTTCCGTTACACCTACAAAAATAAGAAAGGATCTTGGATCAACCAAATTTTTTGCCCACAAAGAAAAAACATTTTCTATAATAATTAAGTGGTGAGTAGTATCTTTTTTTATGTTATATTAGTTGTTTTTAGAATAATTGAAATGAATATTTTTTGGATAAGTACTTAAAATATACTTTTGATCCACTTTCAAATGATTTTATATAAATACTACATTGATCAAGCTTCATTCATAATATCCATATTATTTTATAGATACCAATTTTAATTGTCACATATATCAATCTGAGCTGTATGCAATTTTTTAAAAAAAGGATACTATGGAAAGTTAAGAAGTTGCAATTACAATAAGGACTCAATCGACCCAATTGGCAAGCCCTTCATGATGCCTTTACGTCTGTCACTACTGTTTGACTGAGTAAGTGTAAACATTTTTTAAAACAGTGTCTTTTAAAAACTTACATGGCACACTTGTTTCTTTTTTTATTCATCTCTACATAACATGGATTTCAATTTTCAACTAAGGAAAAAATAAAACATTCATTCGGCTGAGATGTGCAGTATGGGTTGTAAGCAGTTTCTGTTTGTCAATTAAAGACTAATATTCCAATTAAGAATATATTTATTGTTACAAATGTATCTTTTTCAGGTATAGATAATGTAAAGTAGTTTGGACTTTTGGTTGTAACAAAAAAGAAATTAATATTTCTCAACAGCTGTTTCAAAAGTTGCATCCAAAACTCGATAAATGGGAAGACTCACAAGTGAATTGAGTACGAGAATGCTGCTACAATGATTGCACTATGAAGAAAGAGTTCCCCCTTGTTATCAAAAACCTAATCAAGACTCACCTCAGTAAGTGCCATAATCATTTGTAGTCTTATTGAAAAGCACAACATATTTAAAATGTTTTAATATTGGCAGGATTTTAATAGAACAATAGATCAGAGCTAAGTATCAAAGGCAAGAATTTTGCCATGTAGATAAATAAAATCATTATGTCTCAGGATTGACGAAAGGGTTTGTGATGAAAAGAGGTAAAGAAGATGCGAGATATCATCACTCTAGGAAATTTGTTTTAAGTGAGGCAGATGGCATCCTAAAGTATTATGTAAAAGAAAATAAGGTATAATTTACAAAATATGATTTACAAATTATGCATTATAGTCTTTCTTGTTTGAATTTGAATATTCCTGAAACATTATGCTACAATTTTTTCTCTTACAGGAACCAAAAGCAGTATTAAGAATATCAGAATTAAATATGTCATATTTATGTTTATCATGAAAATCCAGAAATAATAACTAATTGGTATTTACCTATACAATGAGCTGACTTACATCGTCTCCAAGTTGCTTATCCAGGAGCAAGTGAATCAGAATTATTATGTCAACTAACAAAAGACTTTCCAAAGGAATGATTTCTATGGAAAACAGGACCAAGACATAGTAATGCATATAAAAAACGATGGTTTACACTAGATGGTTGCAAATTAATGTATCATGATGACCCTATGGTAAATAATTATTTTAAATATTTACAATATAAAGATGTCTTTTTCTTAATTATCCAGTCAAATCAATAATTCATGAACTTGGTACAAAAATATATTTAATTGTTTGAAAATGTATTTTTTAAAGGATGCTCATCCAAAAGGAGAAATGTTCTTAGGACATTGTTCTGAAAGTTATGCTGTGAAAATAGGAGTTCCTCCAGGTGTTCGTGATTAAGGCTTCTCGTTTACTCTTGATACTTCAGATCGCACTTACCTTCTCTCAGCCTAAACTGAAGAAGGTAGATCCCAATTGATGATTGTTCCCAGAGGTATGTATTTTAAATTACTAGTATATGTCTGCTTTCACTTGTTATTAAATTTGAAAAGAAAAGAAAATGTGAAATTTACCCTTTTTTGTATTACTATCAAAACAACAAAAACTGATATTTATTGTATAACTTATGGGCATCCATGCTAATTATGTTACTAAACATTTTCTATTTCATTTTTGTAGTTAATACTTGATAGTGATAATTCTACTTTTGGATTTTGACTTTTAAAACTTTAAGCATAGATTCTTCATAAAAAAAACACAAATTTTTAGGCCATAACTTTTCTCAAGGTTTGCAAATAATTTTATAGGTTAACATTAAGCTGTTATTAAGAGTCAATTCAAAAACTCTGACTTGATCAACTGACTTGATCAAAATTATTTTGTGGGAACTCAATCTCTTCTTAGCTTAGCTTCAAGAGAATATTTCAATTAATTCTATGCCGATGTACGCCACAAAATGTCACTAAAGTGATAGAAACCTCAAATTTACCATATTCTTATCTTCTTTATTTCTCTGATTTTACACTTATCTCTTGACACAGTTTACAGCTGCATGTATCACTATTTTCAAAGCCAACTTTTGTTCGGTAAGGCTTGAGAAAGAAATTGAGTCCACATAGAGTCATTTTGGTCAAGACTGCGTGCGCATGGAGCATTTCTAAGTCTGGAAAAAAACTATTTAAAGAAAGAAAAACCGATATGAGCCTTTTATTCCATTGTAAATACAACACTAAGCTACTTTTTCATTTTATTAGTTGAACACAATCATACTAAAAAACAAACACTTTATTTAATCAATTGTAATCTTTATTAGCACAGCAAAAGCACATATTTAATTTTCATTAATATAAAACATTCATCACTGATTTAATTTGAAAATTTGCTTACACGCATGAAATTTATATTTGTTCTTGTAAAAAACTTCAAATTCCAGCTCTCATATTCAGCTTTTATTTGTGAAAATACACTGAACTTATGTATTATAAAACTACAACTATAATTAACACGTTATCTGCAATTCACTTGGCAGGCCACATCTTGAAATGATTTCAAAACCGTATAGCATCAATATTTTACAAATTTTGACTATTGGGACGCTTATGGGCGAGTGTAAATAATAAAAGAACTATTAGTATTACAGTGACGCTAATTACTTATAGCAGCCGTCAGCACTCTTACAGGTTATGCTTCACGACCACGGCGAGGTTTCTGTAGCAGAAGCTAAATCGACTGTGCACCATAGACATATAAAGTATAGACCAACAGTTTTATATGTCTATGCTGTGCACTCGTGGGAGTCGAGGGCCCACATAGTGATACAGATTTAACTTATGCATATGCAACGGATATTAATTCTTGTATTTACTCAGTAGGTAACTTGTATGGAGCAAACGAGGTTGTGTTTGCAAGAATTAATGCCCTTTGAGTGTACGTGCTCACACTAGTATCATAAAACAGTAATCCATGTATTAGATTTGCCAATGAAAAATTGCATGAATTTTAGTTGTTTCATATGTCCGTAATTCATTTTATTGCGATTAATTCATACAAATTATTGAACAATTACAATTAAATTAACGCAAAGACAATATTTTAACGGATTCTAAAATTAATGTAAAAACAAAATGTTCCCAAAGTTCCAAATACGAACATATTATGAAACGAAAGATACAAAATTGTTTCTGCGTTGGGATCTCATAACTAATTCTATAGACGTCAGAAAAAATTGAGACGGATATATTTTGAATGCTTAAAATAAGCTCTTTTCGATAATGTACTCGAAATCATTCAAAATTATTATTATTTATGAAAAATAGCGTTAAAATAAAAAATAAGCGTGATTTTTCCGCCCATTTTTTTTTATCTAGTTTTTAAAGCTTTCCTCGTTGGGAATCGACGGGTAATATTTTTAACCGGTGGAATAAATGTCTGAACTTTAAGAATCCATGGTTTGAAAATAAAATTTTTGGTCTTAGTATTTTCAAAATGGCGCCCGAACCACAAAATTTTTTTGAATAATTAATGATTTTTTTGCTCAAAAGCTATAAACACACGGAGAAAATCTCCAAGAATAAGGTTGCAAGGAATTGGTATAAAAAAATTTTCGCTATTATTTACAACCATGTATGTACAAAAAATAGGCAAAAAACGACGAAAATACGAAAATCAGCTTCTAACACCCATTACCTTGTCACGGTCACATTTGATCATTGATCATAACTTTTTTTATCTCTTTTGCATAACACAATCATTTCCCATTTTACATGTAAGTGAATTGCTTTTCATATAATTAAAATCAAAACATCGCCTCACCTTGTTCATATGCCTCCTGCGTAACCAAATAAAGGATCTTCCTTCTTTCTTTACGTGAAACTGCATGACTTTTCATATAGTTATATTCAAAATATGTCTTCATGATACATGGAATACACTTTTGATACACATTATTTCATCATGTACATTTAAGAATTGTAAAGCAGGTAGTGACAATAATAAATCAATTTGGTTTGGAACGAGGGCCCTTTGCCAAAAGTAAAATGTTTCGCTTTTGCGTTTTTTGAAAATATTTATTGGTCGTCTTGAACCCGCCATTTTGAATTATAAAATCTGATAGCAGATTTGTATTCAGCGACCTTAAAAATCCCAATATATAAAATCACCATACGGATACGCATTAAATAAACAGATAATAAAAAATATACAAAAATTTAAGATTAAACCGCCATATTAAATGCTACCATCTTGAATCTTAAAAATCGCATGCTAGGATTTTGTAAGTGGAGGTCCATGGACGCTGAAAATGTTTGAACTGAAGGAATTTCTTAACGGTTTCAATGCGAAAACAAAGGAATAAAAATTCTTTTTCGTGTGAAATTTCTTTTTTTTTTTGTTGTTTCAATTGCATAACTCGAGAAATTGCTTCATTTACAATTTTTCAAAATTCTAGCTAAAATGATGCCGAAAATAGTTCAGAAAAAAACACCATTTACGCCTTAATGGGTTAATCGGGCAGTCACCAAAAGTTGTTACGATGACTCTCTCCTTTGGGCAAAAATAAATTATAAAAATGGTTATATATATATTATGAAAAGTCTCTGAACAATAATGTATTATTTATGCCACGCCTTGTTTTATAAATAAAACGATGATCCAATTCTTTATTTGATTTTTTGTTTGTTTGCAGATGGATAGTCGAAGAACTGGACCACGTAACAAAAGTTACTCTCTAAGACATAAACGACGCCTTGTTCAACAACAAAATGAGAAAGATACTAAGCGAACAGCCCTTCTCATTGATCAGATACTTAATGAGAAGAGAAATATTGTTAAAAATAATACAGCAGTTCGAGTTGTTCAAGAAATTCAAGAGATCAAAAAGGAAAAAAATGAAAATTCAAATAAAAATTCAGAAGTTCAAGAAATTTTTCCTGATCCCAATCAGGATGTATCAGTTGGCAGCATTATAGAGGAAACAAGTGTTACTGAAACTAGTATTGATTTAATATTTGATGAAATAGATGAGGCGATCATACAACAAGATGATGAAGTTACATATAGATATAGTGATTGCGATGATTCTGATTCAAATGAAGAGAGTGATGAAGAATTCGATGGCGAATGTAATAGTGAAGAGTCAGCCAAAGATATTTGTCAGAAAATATCTACTCAATTGCAACATGTATTTGGTCAATGGGCTATCGAATGCCTGATTCCAAAAGCTGCTCAAAAGAAATTTTTGCGAAAATTACGTGATGATATGCTGAAATTACCTCTTGATCCAAGAACTATTATTAAAGCGCCAAAACATGGAGAAGTTCATCTAATCAAAGGTGGAGAGTATTGCCATTTTGGCTTAAAACATGTCTTGAAGAAAATTGTTGCGAATAGAATTTTTGAGAGGATTATAAAAAATGATATAGGTTTATTAATAAATATAGATGGAGCACCATTAGGTAACGATTGCGTTAAGAATTTATGGCCAATTTTGTGTTCGGACACGATAACTAGAAGAGTATATATTATTGGCGTCTATGTTGGAAAGTCCAAACCCGAGGACGTTGATGAATTTTTATATTGGTTTGTGGAAGATGCAAAATTATTCATCAATAATGGATTTGATATAGATGATATTCAATACAATATTTTAATTGATGGAATGATATTTGATGCTCCAGCTAAGGCATACATACTAGGAGTAAAATGCCACAGTGGTTACTGCAGTTGCAGTAAATGCGAAATAAGAGGAACATATCGCGAATGCGTTTGTTTTCCTGGAGAAGTTGGAGTTTTGCGCACAGACGACAAATTTCAAGCCTTCGATGTCTATAAAAATCAAGGGTATCAATTGAAGAAAACAATAATATGCGAAATCCCAAGATTCGGCGTAGTGACTCAAGTTCCCGTGGATCCAATGCACCTTGTATCTGGTAGCACGAAGAAAATTTTTTTAATTTTACGCTTTGCTGCTACAAAACATAGATTACCTATAGCAGTTATAGATAAAATTTCAGAAATGTTTATTGGTATAAGTCCATTTGTCCCTTATGAATTTGCTCGTAAACCAAGAGATTTGAAATTCATCAAACAATTTAAAGCAACAGAATTAAGGCAAATTCAATTGTACACGGGAGTTGTTGCTTTGAAAAACAATGTCAACGTAGAAATCTACGATAATTTTGTGACACTCCACATTATTATTACTATTTACAGTAATCCAATACTTTGTCGCATTCCTCAATGGGTCGATTACGCAGAAAAGCTAAGCACAATATTCGTACAACAATTTAGAAATCTATATGGAACTAGGTATGTTTCTCACAATATTCATAATATTCAACATTTGGCTTTAGATGTAAGAAGGTACGGAGAGTTGGAAAATTTCTCAGCATTTCGTTTTGAAAATTTCATCGCTCGAATAAAACGTCTATTGAGAAGTGGTAACAAAGTATCGGAACAGTTGATCAACAGGTGTTCAGAAATCGAGATGCTGCAAGAAAAACCATCGTCTTTAAATGATAATACAGATTTAAGGCACATACACACTTCAGGTCCTATACCAGATAGGCTGAAAGATGCAATTCAGTATAAAATAGCAGTGCTTAAATTATTTAAAATCAATTGTCATGATGGAAAAAACAATTATGTTTATATTGAAAACAAACATGCTGTAGAAGTCTTGAATATAGTAAAAAATAATAGTGATGTGTACGTAGTCGGACGTACCTTGAAAATCATTGGCTCACTGTACGAGTTACCATATTCGTCTACTGATCTAGGAATACATGTTGTGAGTTCTCAGCAGAACTTAGAGTTACTATATTGGCACATAAATAGCATTACAGCGAAATTATTTATCATGCCATATAAAGAAAATTATGTGGTATTTCCAATCTTGCATACATTTCGCTTACAAAGCTGACTGCAGGTGTATATAATAATAATATAGTTACAGTAACATTTTATCGAAAGAAAGTACATTAAAATTTTTATTGTAATATATCTGTAGTGGTGTAATTTTAATTGTAATATATCTACATCTGTCAGTGTATCAGGAGAATATTTTTACTTTTTTTCTTCAATGAAATTAAATGCTGAATGTTATCGAAATTGAAAACGGTCCTTCACTGTCACATAGTTTTTTAACATAAGAAAATAATAGCAATGAAAAGTTGATGTTGTAGGTTAGGAGGTTTTTTCGTGCAAACTTTTGTACAATATGTAGCTGAATCTGCTATAAATTTCATGATAAATTGATATATATTTTTTAACTGTCTTCATTTTAAAAGTTTGAACTGAACCATATTGAAATTTGAGCTGGAAAACGACTTCTTAAATTGTTGATAGTTTTGATCTAATTATTACATGCGAAATTGAAATAATTTATTATAGATGTAAAATCATAAAAAAATGTTTAGTGTATTTCGAGAAATGATCTGAAGACTCGTTATAAGCTATAAGTATTTTTTGAAAATTGTCATTTCTGTAATATTTCAAACGATTGAAGACAAAAAAAATTAAATCATTAGAAGAATCTTTCCTAATGTACAAAAAAGCCGTAAAAATTTTGTATTGCGTTGGCGAGTAGTTACTAAGTTTTAGTTCCTATCATTAGATACCAAAATGTCAATGTATAAAATCTTACTTAAAAAAAGATGCAAAGTTACCGATCAAATCCTGTTTTATCTTGCTCCTTTTCCGTGAGGCAAAGTTGAACAATTGAAAATACTTGTACGTATATGAAATAATGTAACAGTCGATTGGTTAAAATAGTTTATAAAAATGTCAGCGTAAAAACCAAATGTGTTTTCTAGATTAAGTAAATTATTGTGTAGTTTGGTACCTTGTGAAATACTATGTATAAATTGGTACAAATTTATAAGCATTTGTAAAAATTAATAAAGTTTTCTACCGATGAAAAAATAAGTACTTTAATACTGTGAATTACTAAATATCGTTTGAATTAATAAATATATGAACTTATTGATTATTTCCAAATAAAGTTGGTACGTACCTGCGACGTAGCAGGAACGAGATAGTAACGTATCATAGACGGGGCAGGAACGTTCCATTGAAAAATGCGGTACTGGTACGTACCGGGAACGTACCCTAATGCAAGGGTATGGCAATTTTTCTCGTCCTGAAACGTACCGGATTCGTGGCTGCTACGTACCACTGTCTGCATCCTGGGTACGTACCAGGTACGTTCTTATCGGTATCCAGGATACCATAATAAAAATTTGGAACGGTATTGGAACGTTGCGGCAACTTTGCAGTACACAATGCCCGGAACGTTCCAGAAACGATATTTTTTCTACCATAGCGGACATTGTTACCCATCCTGGTACGTACCTGATACGATTCCCATCCGCACCGCCTTTCGTACCAAAGTTCCTAAAAACTAGTTGCGGGTACGTTCCCGGTACGGTTGATGTTACCTGGGACATACTGATAGTCAATGATAATCTCCAAGCTGTTAGTGCAAAAGTTGACATGATTCTAGGCACGTATTTTTTTTTCTTTTTGCTTTACATACAATGTAGTAAACTATCAACAATAGAAGTATATATGAACAAGTTTTATTTGTAGGAAATACGTGTCGTTTAGTGACATATCAAGCAAAGGAAAAGGTAATTGGAGCAGTTCCGTTACCTAATGTCGATTCATCGGATTCGTCTTGCAGCGAAAAGAAAAAAGTCATGATAGCAGTATTCAAGAAGATGACTACGCTCGATCTATTTTTGGAATTTGACAATGAACTGGAAAATTCAGCTGGTTTGAGGGATGGAGTCGTAAGTTTACAAAATTTACTCTAATAGTCATTTCAAGTTTTTTTTGTTATCATTAATACTAATATCAATTTTCTTTTGCAGAAAAAATATTTAACAAAATATAAATTCAGCTTCTCTTAATTTTTTGTATAAGTATCGTTTTTCAAAAATACAGATTTTGTTTCAGTTTAATCTAAAGTTAATCGAAACGTTCTTTGACTCGGCATACCTTTAGGTAATAATATTGAAGCAATTGGTATGGCATCATAACTGCACATGCTTGATCAAATGTATTATAAATCGTTTTGTCGTTATCTATAAATTCCATATTACAATATGAGTTTTTCTATAAGTTATATATTTTTTTTTCTTATTCGCGTAAAAACATTAAAATGATAAATAGCAGGACCAAAATTATGGGGTCGAGGGAGGGGTCATTTGTTATTTTTTAGTATGGGGACAGGGCAAGGAGAATTAAAAAATTCATCAAATCACGAAAGTTAAAATTAGGAAGGGACCAAAATTGTAAGGAGGGGGACGGGACAGATTCTAAAGACCTCTTACGACTACATATATATAATAAAGTTCGATACATGGTCAGAAGAGAGATTATTATCTCTCTTCCAGATTATATTTTCCCGCAGCGGTATTTTTATGCTTATTTCTTTTGCGGTTATATTTAAAGTCTCAAAAAAATAAAAATAGTTTTGAGTAATATTCAAAAACTAGAAAGTATTTCTGATTTGTATTATTTGAAAAAAAAACACAAAATTTTACGTTTTTATTTAATGAAAGAAATATATGAAAATTGATTGGTGAAATATATTTTTTTGTTCCTAGATATCATTTTGGAGTCTTCAAAGAAAAATAACGTTGTTCAACCCGGATAGCACAAAACGTTTTCACAACGTTTTTAAAATGTTTTCTACAAAACGATATAACGTTTTGTAAATTAGGTTAAAAACAGGTTCTGAAAACGTTTTAAAAACGTAAAATATGTCCGCAGATTTTTAAATATTTGTATTTGCAAACGTTTTTAAGACGTTTTCAATACAGTTTGAAAACGTTTTCTAATTCATATTTATGTCGGTTGAAAGGCTCAAACGTTTCCGAGACGTTTTCAACACGTTTTTAAAACGTTTCCCAATTCGTCTTCACGTCGGTTGAATGGCTCAAACGTTTCTAAGACGTTTTCAATACGTTTTTAAAATGTTTTTCAATATACATTTATGTTGATCGAAAAGTTTAACCGTTTCAAGACGTTTTCAAGACCTTCAGAAAACGTTCCTTGACTCACATTTATGTTGATTGGAAAGCTCAAATGTTTTCTAGATGCTTTCAACGTGTCGTTAAAAGTTTTTGGAAACATCTGGTTTCATATATTTGACATACAGTAAATTTACAAAATTTTCGTTTTGCAAACTTATTCTGAATAAAACGTTCGGAAGAGAAAAGTATTCGTTTAAATTAATTTTTATTCTTAGTTTCATTACAAACATATATATTATACAATTATTAATAGACACACTTATACTTCATTTTATTTTGTCATCTCAAACTTAAAAATAATCAATATTAATACAAAATAAAGTATTTATAAAAAATAAAATACATAAGTAAAATATGCAGTGGTATACATTTACATTGCTATAAGGTTACATTTTGCAGTGAGGCATAATACATATATATATTTTTTTATTTAACATTTTGTAAATTAGTCTTGAAAATTTAATTTTTTCTATACGTATGAATAAGTGATGCCGCAACAGATTGGTTTTCAAATGGAATTTTGCAAACTTTGGAGAGAATAGATTTATAAGGGAATGTTACAATCGAATTTTCAAAATTGGTAGATTCGATAATGTTTATATTCAATAGATCAGAAGATAATGGTTGTTGATAAAAACATTTGGAAGTTTTACATGGACGTCCCACAACATGTACTTGTCCATCATTTCTTTTTATAAAAAAATGGCATTCTAAATACGTACCATTGTCGAGTAATACATAATTATCTTTTTTGCTACGACAGTCTATTTTTGAAATATTCGTTTTAACAATTTGAAATTCTTGATTGTTTTGTAAAAGTGAAAAGTCAGTCTGTTCAGTATCGTCTTCATGATAATACTCTTTAGCTATTCTAATCTCCATAAGTCGATTGGCTATTTGTTGCAGTCTCTTACCTCCTTTGCGTAGCAACTGCTTCACTTTTCTAATATGATTTTCGAATCTAAATGCACTAAAATTATCTAATGAACCAAAACGTCTTACATCATTTACCAAGTATAAGACATTATGTAAATTAAATAGCATATTAGATTCTCCATAATGTTCTTCATACGATTCCACGAATTTTGTTAGTAGATCTTCAGCGTATTTTAACCATGTTTCATATTTACATAAAATAGGATTTACGAATATCGATATTGATACATGTAGGCATAAAAAATTGAGGTATAGATGAGGTGGTAAAATATTATACAAAGCAACGGGCCCTGTGTACAAAAGAAAAGCTCGTAATTCGTGAGCTTTCCATAGGCGTTTTACATTTTGGAATTGTCGAGGAGTCCTACTAAAATCGCACGGCATACACTCTTTGAACATCAATAGTTTTTCAGAGACTAGTTGGCGTTCATACTCCGATAACACAACTTTAGGATTTTGTATCCACAGTTCTATTAATTTCACTACTACTCCTAGGCAAATTAAATGCATATAGTCTAATACCACATCTGTAATTGGATGGAAATCGGGAATTTTTTTCATAATCGTTTCTCCTTTTTGAAAATCGTCAAATACTGCATTACTGCGTTCATATTGTTGATTAATAAAACTTTCATCAGTTCTTAAAACGGCATCCTGCTGCATTCGTGTAGGAAAATATACTTTATTATCGTAATCCCCTTCAATAGTACATTTAGAACTGCTATAATAACCACTGAAATGCTTCGTTTTCAAAATGTAAGCTTTAGCAGGTGCATCACACACTAAACAGTGATGTATAACCTTAAAATGCTTGCCTTCAAACATGATTCCATTGTTAATAAGCTGTACTAATTCATCGATAAACATTTTTACTAAATCATCACTGTCCTTGGGTTTCTTCTCGCCATCATATATACCAGCCACCTCAACAAGATTTAAAATAGTCTCGGAAACAGATATAATCCATGAACTATCTTCTGATGAATTATGAAGTTTAGCACCATCAATATTAGTAATTAACCTGATACAATCAATATCGATATTGTTTTTTTTGTAAGCCGTTAATAAAAATTATTAATGCGCTTTTAATACCGTAATGGCAGTACTCGCCATCAGCCATTTTGTGTATTACAGAAATTCTCGGAGTTTTCAAAAAAGTACGCGCATCTTTTGGAAATGGATAACCTTCCTTCCGTAATTTTTCTAACAATTCATTAATAAATAAGTGAGGAATTGTATGAATATATTTTATGCATAGACCTCGAATATCGTTAATAAAAGTCATTTTTGAATCTTCTTTATTTGATGATATTAATGCATCGAAGTAAATTGCCTCATCTTCCGGATCTTTTATCTTCTTCCTCATCGTCATTATTTTCGTTATATAATTTTTGTATTACAGCGAAAAAATCAAACCTTGTCTCGGCTTCAATACCAGTGATATCATTCGTAAGTTCTAGATTTTTATAATGCTTTTTAAAAGATTGGCGTTTTAAAGTTTCTAACATTCTTTCGCTTACTTCTTCAGAATCAGAATTACACAAATAATTCAAAAGACATTTACGATTAAGATGATTATCTGTCAAAATACCCGATTCGTCAGCCGTACACATGAGATTGTTATTTACCTTTTGTTTCTTAAATGTGTTTTCTTCTTTATAAGATTTCACGCGGTCACGTAAATTTTCTTCAACATCTTTTTTAAATTTTTCTCTTTTTTGAGCCAATTTTCTACGCATTTGTCTGTCAGAAAATAAACTTGGGTGCTTTCTAGAAGACATAACTCTTCATATTCGTAGGCACTGAAACAAAGTATTATATACTTATTATTAAATGTGTTTACTAAAGTTAGTCTGTTTAACAATGTCATAAATTTATTTGGCCCTAGAAAAAAATTAAACTCAACGAAAATTTCAAATAATCATTT